TTCTACATTTTTGATATTTGAGCTGTTATCTAAAATACTCATTTTGGCAACAAAACATCTATGCTGAGGTATGCCCTCCTTTTCAACTCATAATTATGACTTTTTTCTCCCCCACTGCTGTACTGACAGGCAGAAAAAGCCTGAGCGAGCTGCAAGCACCTTCCCTTACTCTGCACTGCTGTGGTCTCTGGGAACATCTGGTCCAAAGTCCCTGCTCAAGTCTGGCATGACCAGTGATCCAAACCCTGGTCTTAAATCAGGCACAACAGGGAGTTGAATAAATACAGAACAAAAATTTTTAAACCTCCAAAGCTGCCAGATTTAATCAGGAGTGGCTTTGGTAGAGTTAGTTGTAATCTTCCTGCACCTCCCCTTGCCCCATCCCCATCCCCATCCCCATCCCCAGCCCTGTCATCCACTTTCACCATGAGAGATAAACCACAGAATTCACTTGAAGTTCTCCCTCAGGGCAGCCAGGGCTGAACCAGTAAAAACTAAAAACTTTCTGGTAAAGAGGTATTACCATAATTCTTACACATGGGCACATCCCATCAGTACAAGTCCTGAACTGACAGACAAATGGAGACGTTAAACAGCTTCACACTGACCACAAATTCTCACTGCAAAGCCACCACCATCTGCTAAACCCACATTCTTAAGAGCATGACATTTGTCAGAAGCCTGATATCTGGACACTTTCGCATGCTAATTTGGTACATACCTTTATATTTATGATTATCAGACTTAACTGACAGTTATGCAGACCCTCAAAAGCTTTGGTGTTTGCTCTATTATGTTAATTTTAGCCACATGTTTGTTCTCACCTTTCTCTCGGCTTGTCAGCACTGGAATCTCTGAATCCACTCCACTTAAAATGTCTGCTTCTTTATATGTACTGCAGACTGTAATCCATCTACACCAGTAAGGGAAAGCAGCCCTTTTTCCCAATGGGAAATGCAACCAGTCTCTGGCAAAAACCAGAGCATTTCCAGACAAGTGAATGCTGGAATGTCAGCATCCAAACTGGCATTACAGACAGAATAAATCAACATTAACACTACTGTTCACTTTATATGAGAGGGATGACAAAGGTAAGGATGTCAGAGAAAACTGCAGTACTCTTCCCTCTCCTGGTAAAAAGTTGCTCTTGTGCAGTTTTGCTTTAAATTGTGCCCACATCAGCATACAAGAAACTCCAAAAATCAAACAGTAAAGCACAGTGATAGGCAGGGAATTTTATTTTTAGCTCAGCAGAGATTTATCACTATGAGAGTCTTGTGACTTTGACAAATCTAACAATAATGAGTTGTGTATACGATGTACAACAGCTGACAGAGAGTAATATATTCCATCTGCTGGAGCTGTCCCAGGAGACTGACCTTCAAGGTCTAAAAACTTTCAAATTTCTATGATTTTTTCTCCTCTCTAATAAAATACCACTATGAAACAGCTATTTGGTTTATTTTGTGAAGGATGCATTGTGGTGAATAGCTGATATTTGAAGAGAAAACTCAAAATCCATCTAGAAAATTCCAGTTATGCCAAAATGCTGTTTCCTATCTGTATAGATCACTCTCTGTGACCTGCCACTCACTCTTGTTCTTCTAATGAACTACAATCTTCATACTTAAGTGCCTTCTTTAAACCTGACAGGAACATTAAAGATGTCAGAAGGCTTGCACATATGTGTCATCCTGAAAACAGTCCTGGCTGCAGAGGAGTAGGTGCAAGGACAAGCAAAAGTACAGGTAAAGATTAATTTCAGGAATACAGAGAATACTTATGGATATAATCTCAGGTAAGGATGAAGTGACTGAGGACTTTAAATCACTACATGCAAATATTAAATCAGATGACATAGTTCCTTAGTTGAAGCAACAGACACCCATGAAGAAAAAAAAAACCAAATGCACTTGGAAGGTCACAAAGATGCTCCAAAGGCTGGAGCACCTCTCACGTACAGACAGGCTGAGAGAGATGGGGTTGTTCAGCCTGGAGAAGAGAAGGTTGTGAAGAGATCTCATTACAGCCTTCCATCATCTAAATGGACTTTGTAAAAACATTGCAGAGGGACTTTTTACATGGGCAAACAGTGATAGGACAAAGGGACTGGCTTTAAACTAAAAGAGGAGTTATCTAGATTAGATATCCAGAAGAAATTCTTCCCTGTGAGGGTGGTGAGGCCCTGGCACAGAGTGTCCAGGGAAGCTGTGGCTGCCCCATCCCTGGAAGTGTCCAAGGCCAGGTTGGATAGGGCTCAAGGCAACCTGTAATAGTGAGAAGTGTCCCTGCCCATGCCAGGGGGTAGTACTGGATGATCTTCAAGATTCTTTCCAACCCAAATAATTCCAGGATTCTTTGATTCTTAAGGTACTTCCAACCCAACCTATTCTATGCAATGCCATTCTATGATTCGGCACCACAGTTATTTTCTAGAACTGTCTAAATCTCTAAAACAATCTTAAAACAATTCTAAATATTCTAAAATAATCAATGATTGCTTTAGTTTTTTCTTATTAATTTCTTTCTAAATAGCTTCATTTTGGGAGGTTTGAGTTCCACGAAGGAAATTATTATTGTGGAAGACTTGGCCTTTCCCTTTCTGTAAGGATGGACATGTTCTGAGTGCTACAGATCACTTTTCATCAGTCACACTCAGAATCCATACACAGTGCAGAGGAGTAATTTTTCTTTTAGGTTATCAAGTCTTTGTTTCAAAACTCTACCATTTTTGGTGAATAGAAGTCTTGTTTCTATATTATGCACTATCCAATACATGGGGTTTTTATTCCACATACAAAGAAACCTCTCAGAAACCTTAATGTTGATCATCTCTGTTTTGTAAGGTTTCCCTTTTCTCCAACCTTCCTCACAGAAATAAAGGAAAGCACTTTTGCCCAGCTTGGGAAGATCTGCTTCCTAAGCAAGGTTTGAGCAAGAATAAGATGGGTGCATGTGGATACATGAATAAGATGTCATTAGAAAAATGCTATTTGCATGAGGAAAGGTTTGTTCACATAATGTCATTGCTGAATTAAGGCAAATGTCTCCTTTTCCCAGGATACTTGAACAACATTTCTATCTATTTCTGCCCAGAACAAGGAATTTTATCAGTGGGAATGTTACTGTGTTGCCTGTTCTTGACAAGCATTTATTTCAGGACTTCCTACAATCCCCATGTTACACCAGACCAGAGCAGCAAAGAGCTGGTTTAAAGCAGCAGCTCTGCTCACCTAAGTCAGGCCTAGAAAAGTGATCTGATTCAACCTTGCAGTTTGCCATCACCTGCAAAACATCCAGCCCCCACCAGCAATGAATAAAATACTCCACTACAGCAACACTCAAATAGAAGCTGGCATGGCTCCTTTCAATTACCTTTTTTGAATTATGATCCTCTTTGCCTTTTCTACTTTCAGCTTTTTTGACAGGAAAAAAATGCCCCCATTTAGAGGCTTGAAGCCTAGTACTTCCAATTCCCAGGAATAGAAGGCTATTAATTCTGGCAAGGAGAATTTCACTGAGAGAAATTAGGTTTAAACTTCTGAGAGGTGTCAAGTATGTTCAGTCAATTGAACAATTGAGTTTGCCAGCTACATTCCTGGAAGCTTTGCAACAGAAGGAATGAATCAGGAAAATCAAACTGAGTGTGGTTTAACCCTGACAGTGGCTAAGGCAAAATATGAAAGAAAATTAAAAATAGATCAAATTTAATTGGTGAGGGAATAATATGCATGGCTGTCCTTCAGAAGAAGAATAAATTTGACCAGCTATAATGAAAGTACAAGAAGAAAACATTTTCAGAAAAAGTGGGAAAAGTTCTTTCATTTTATTGTCAGGCAGAAGAAAAAGATACAGGCTTTCTTCATCACTCTCTTTCCTATGACAGAGGAAAGAGTTGCTCAGTGTAATTATGATCATTGAAATAACACAGCTTTAGTGAGCCAACATACACTGGCAGAGTCCTGAGTACAGCCAGCAGAGTCCCCAACATCGTAGTGGCCTCCAGGATTGTTACCAGTTGCTCAACACATTGCTTCTTCTATCCATCACATCACAATACCAAAATACACTCAGCAAAATCTGCTGTCACATGGTCAGCAAGGGAAGCTGCTCCAGCCCAATAAATATGCTGAGAATGAAGACAATATTTTGTTACGAGATGTGTAGCTAAAGCAGAAACTTTGTTTATAGATTGCCTTCTTGCCCTCTCCCAGAACCCCAAAAGCACTGGAAATGCCTCTGAGTATGGAACAGAACTCAGACTATGAGCTCAGGATATAGCAGATTCAGAACAAAGCCCTAACCCTATCAGACAAAGAAACTCAATGCAAAAGGGGAAAAATAAGCATTTCAGAAAACCATTATTAAACAATACCATTTTATATGGACATTTCTATTACAAACTTAAGTAAAATAAAAAAAGGACTTTACAAACAAAGCAAGTATGTTAACACAGCAGTGAAATTTAGACAGTTTCCATGTTGAAATACAACTATCACTTATATAATTACACAAATATTTTAAATGAAGCAAGAGAAAAAACCCACTCATCAAAACCTCTTAGTTGATATGGGCATAAAAACAGTCGGTTTTTCTTATCACAATTTAATTGCATGATGTTTAAGAGGGTTCTGTAAAAAAGTAGAAATATTTTTCCTGGTTTACTTTTCTTTCCTTCAGAGGTAAAAGGAGGTAAAGTTAAAAAGTGGGGTAGACCTGAGAAAGCTTTCCATTTCCAAAATTAAAAAAAGAAGAATGAACAGTATATCCAACATCTTACTTTATGGTGAACAAAGAAAGCTCTTTTGATAATCACACCATATGAATTAAAGTCTTCCTTTAATTTGTGTCCCCTTATTTTTGTTATCTAACCATCCTTGGTTGGAGACATCTTGATTTACTGATTAGCTTAGAATTGTTTCTTCATAGAACTTTTCATCACGTAAGCTCTTTGTAAGTTTGTCTCTTGAAAAATGATAAACTGAGCAGAAGTAAATTACCTTTGGGTTCATCTATGTAGAAAGACACATCTTTTTTGTCCTCTTGTTCATCAGTGTGATCATAAGTGATCTGGGGAACAGACAAGGAATTTTCTCCTGGTTTTATTACAGGTGCAGAACCATTCCCACAGCCCAGCTTTCCTTTTCTTCTGTATCTTCTGGCCTGTGAGAGTAGGAACAGAATGATCTCAGAAGATGTTGTCAAACATAGACAAGTGCACATGTGAGCTTCACTGTACAGGGAATTCACTTGAGGTCATATGATTTTATTTAAAGAATGAAACTGAAATTCAGTGAAAGGGCTGCAGCCTTTGTTTATGGTTTTAAAGTGTCTGATTCTGAATTATCAACTAAAATCTGTTAAGAATTTGATTCTCAGAAAGCAACTAGGACATTCTGAAAAATCAGGTCGTTAGTAAAATTTCTCAAATTGGGACCAAAACTCTAGGCACTCAAAATTCTAATGACTTCAGCATATATCACGTTGTCTGGAATATTTTTCTAAAGCTTTAATTAACATAACCATAGACTTTCAACTATGAACTAGGCCCTAGTGCGGCTTCATCAACTGAAGAAAATTTCACCTTTTACCAAAAAGGCTAAATTAGGCACAACAGGAGAAGAGAAATCCTTCCTCCTGCCTCCAAACAGTTCTCCTGATTTTAGAAGCCTAAAGACAGTCCAATAAACACAATATAATTGGTACTTAAAAATTAAAAATGAAGGTTTGGAGTCACACAAAGAGCTGCAGGGCCAATATATTCACATATGGAACAAGGCTATTTGATCTAAAGTTAAGCCCATTCTTACTGATGTTGCAGTGTTATGTGATGTGTGATGTGCAGTCTTGTTAATGGTATGTTCTGTTATTATCTAAGTTGATGGTTTGGTCCAAATGAGACCCTCTCACCCATCGTTGTCAATCTACCCTGAGTCTCCTGTCCATGTCTTAGGCCCATCGCATGCTTGGAATTCCTCTTTGGAAATCCCCTGAACTTCAATGCTTGATTAGTCCATGTGACCCAACTTATCCCCCCCTACCTCCCTCATTGGATGATGATTTTGTGAACCTGTCTTTTACCCTCCCCAGGATATATCTGATTAGCTGATGCTTTCTACCCTCCCTTTGAACTGGCTCCCTATTTCAGCTGTTGCACGCTCGCATTTTCTGTCTTTTGCCCCCAAGATTCCCCAGAGCAATAAATCCTCTATTACCCCATGCAAAAGACCTCCCTCTCATCCTTGTCTCCTCAGAGCGCAGACTGACAGCCAAAAAGCCATAGAGCAAGTGCTCTAGTTGCACCTCGAGTCACCCTGCTCCTGGGATGTGACCCTCTCCTGTCACAGGTTGAAGTGATAGAGCTAGATAAGCTCTGGCAAGATGCGATATACTTTATTATGGTCTACATTCAGATTTTGAAATTCCTTCTTCTGTTCAGCTCAGCAGCAGTTCAACAAATGCATGTTCAGAATTAAATGGGGGTGAAATGGTAGAAATAGATATTTATTGTGGACAGTGGATGCACTGACATGCATCAAAATACTTCTAAGAGCAAAGACTACAGGCTCTTATAGCAGGAAAAGAAAATAGGAGTCCTCTGGAGAAAAAAAATCCTACAACATGCACAAAATGATCAATATATATCTGAGACCTTAAAATAAGAAGTTACAGACAAAGAAAGAACAAGAGAAGAGGATCCTTTGGTAAGATGTGAAAGAACCATTACTATGTTCTTAAATGAGGGTTCCCAGGGCACAAGGAGGTTCAGACAAATAATACATTATGGAAGTCCCCCTCACTAAAGAAGACAGAGTGAAAATACTTTTTTTCCCCATCTCTCCAACCATGGATTGCTTGCTGTTCAGCAACATGCATACAGAAGCCTTACTTCAGCTTTACCCCTTTCCTCCCATGTTTTCTGTCTCCAGCTGTGACAAATCATGGTCACACTAGCACCAAAACACAGGCTGTTTCATGTGGCACGGGGAATTTTACAGCCCTTTTCCCCTAGGAAACAGGCTCCAGTGGGATGTCACTGCCTAAAGGCAGGCCTTGACCATCATTTGGGGAAAAGCAGGGTGCCTGAGCTCGACTTGCTGCAGACCTCTGCCCTTCTGGCAAGCTTGGCAATGACACCACAGAACAGTGTTTGGGCAATTCCACCTTTGTAGACAAACACTGTTCCAGTTTCCTGCACCCATGGCCCAGGAATTTGCCCTAATTTCTGAAGAGATGAAAACAGCATGGAGTACTTCAGATAAAAGTATCTGCTGTCAACCACATGTTAAATGTGAACATAAATTTTTAAACTGGCTTTTTCCTTCTTCCTGTATGAACTACACTAAAAAATCAATGCAGAATGGGAAAGTGGCACCATTGCCCTGTGCTTTGAGAAAGTAGGAGATTCCAAAGGAGGTAAAACAATGAAGAGTTGGTACCTGTCTGACCAACAAGGCAAATTTAGCTAGAAGATGTTTTTCCCTAAGACTATTTTAAGGAAAACAAAACTAATTGGGCTGTGGCAGGAGGAAAATGAACATATTTAATTTCAGGTGCCCAAACTTCTCAGGCACTTCACGAGGCTTTTGGCAAGTTAATTATAATTTAAAGTGAAAAGCAAGCAGAGAGCCAGCCCTGCCAGTTCTGTCACCTGTTTTCTCAGACCGGGACTAGACGGCGCTGGAGACTTTTTGGGATTTTGCACGGGAGCTGTCACATAGATCTTCCAGGTGGCTGTGGAGGTGCAGGATTTCTCTGCTGCATAGCAGCGCCACAGGGTCTGTAAAGAAACCCAAAGAGCCTCAGTGCAGGAGCCGTCACTAGGTTCCTGCACGGCAAATTTTGCAGCAAATCCAACTGACAACAAACCCCTCAGTCCAGGTAAACACCATTCCTAGTAAAATACAGCCATGGTGGATGCAATTTGCACCAGGAGATGCACATGCATCACACAGAGATATTCAGTGTGCTCTTGGAGTGCTCCCCCCATGAACTGGAATCACACTCTGCCCACAGCAAAAGAAAAAAAGCCCCAAATAAATCAAACTCAACCATCATAAAAGTGAATCCCCCACTGAATGCTGTGTTTTCTTTTTTCTGCACTGTGACACATTGAATGTTTGTGCACTGTGCTATTTAATTCTTTATATCATCACATGGAATGTTATGCTAGGAGATTTTTCTAAAAACAGGTGTGTGTTTTTATTTATTTGTACACACATCCATCTCAGGATTTGGCAGATGTGCAGGACCTATAGAATATGAAAAGGAAGTTATGAATTAAATATTATAAGGAAGATTTTTATTTCATTGGGTATTTCACTACATATACTCACTGCATCCAGTTAGTGTCATTATGCCTGTGAATATCAGGTATAGTGCAGCTTCCAGAAAGGGAGAGGCAATTATCTCATTTTCTCTGCTTACTGATGTGGATCAAAATGACAAAGTGGTTAAGCACAAGTTATAGATCTATAATAAATTTAAGAACGGTGATTCTCAATACTTGAACTTCCTGGCCACACTCCCTCTCCCAATAAACTCTGAGGTATTTTAGTATTCTACTGTTATGGCCTTACCTGAATTAGGGAAGCTGCAGCTGGAATTTGTCTATTGAAATGCTTCTGATGTTGTTTCTGCTGTACTTTCAGGGCAAAACCAGACCCCAGAATGCCCTAAACATAACAAAATTACTAGTCAGACGTGTATGTAGCTTCACATACCTAAATAAAATACTTCACACCTGGAATAAACAGACATTTAATAAAAGACTTTATAAAATAAATTTTCAAATGTCTAAACTGTTAGAGTTCTACTTATTCCAACAGATAAATCTGAAATTGAGCAGATCAACAGAAGAATTGTGTAACTTCAATAAACAACATGTGTTTCTTGCTGTGATCCACAGGTTACAGGAGCCAGAGGCATTCACAGAGGTGGACACGCCTTTAATGAAGATATTCAAGTTCTACTTACAGCTGGCAGGGCAAAGGAGATGGCAAATACTGAGAAGCAGGAAGCTATTGTCTTCCCAATCCATGTCTGGGGGACTTTGTCTCCATAGCCAATTGTTGTGACTGTTACCTACACCAGGAACAAACACCTAATTTAGTGCTTTTTTCTCCAAAAAAGCATGAGAAAAAAGAATAAAAGGGAAAAGTAATTAGTGAAGTATCAGGAGACAGGCATGAATCAACAGTATGGATTTAGGGATAAGGAAACCTGTGCTGACAGGAGTAAAAAGAGACAGAACTAACCCATCCCAGATGAATCCTCATGGCAAGAAGAGGAAACACAGAACCATTCCAGGATGCATTATCTCCCAAAGTCAACCTGCCAGTAGAGGTAGACCTGTGCTTAGCTTTCTTCCTCCCCTCCAAACACAGGATCTGGCCACTCAGAATTGTGTTTAAGCCATAAGTTGCTTAAACTTGGATCTGATCATTGCTTATCAGGGCCAGGTACTCCCTCAGGGAGAAGGGGCCCACAGTTAAGGGAGACAACAGAGCCAGCAGGGCAGCATCTCTTCAGTCAGGACTCAATACCTTTCAAGCAAAACAGAAGCAGAAAGTGCAGACAGGTACACCTGAGAGTCTGGATTACAGTGCAGCAGCACAGGGCAGGATCAGGATCAAATGGTCAGCATGTAAGTCCACAGGGAGGAGACAACAGCAGGGCATCATCCCATGGCTAGAAATCAGGATTAAGGGAGTCAATAACTAGACACAGCTGCAGCTGAGCTACAGACAATCTCTCCTGTGCTGAAATGTTGGCCCTTGGTGTGTCTGGAGCATCACCAGTGGGGTCATGCTGGTTGGAGTCATTAGGCCAATTACTGTCCTCAGGTCTGGGATCTGTAGGGACTTGGCTCTACACAGACTTGCTGTGGAGGTGGCAGGCCAGCCCTGAAAAGCCCAGAGGCAGGAGGACCTGAGTGAGGTGCAGCAGGATGAAAGAGATATCATTATGACCCAGAGGTCAGGATGGACCTGGTGCAGGGGGAAAGAGGGTCCAGGTGAAGGCTGGTCCATCAGAAAGCTTTGTGATGTAATAAGAAGCCCTTGCTGCTCAATGGAAGGGGATAATTAGCTGATTCCAAAGCAGGAAACCACATCAAGCCACAGGAATCACACCTGACAGGGGCCTCAGCACCATGGTCACAGCAGGATAAGACTCAGACCATGGGCTAAAACAGAGACCCTGGGCCATGGGGATGTTGGGTTTTTGGCATCCTCAGAGCTCTGATGCTCCCATAAAATGGTGTGGGAAACATGGCTTGGAGCACTGAGAAGTGAAAAGGTTCTGGTGAGGAACAGAAGAGCTCTGTCATCAATACTAACCACTGGGGAGAACTTTAAATAGAAAAAATGCACTTTTATTTGGATGTACTAGCCCCAAACCTAGTCCCCCTCCCTTCCCTTTGCCTTGAATGGTAGCAGAAACACAGCCAAAACAGACTTAAAAGAATATGTAAATTTACACTGACTACAAAGAGGCTGCCTTTTATGGAAAAATTTGCTGACAAATGCTTAGATGTTATGCAAAAACAGTCTTCTCAGAAGAAACTATCAAGCAATAAGGGCATGGGAAAAATATGTTTCCTGCTACTGTCAGAGCTGGAAGAAAGATTTGCAGGGAAAAATTACCAACTACTACCAAACTTAGTTTTTCCAAGTTCCAAAAATATAGTTATATTTGTTGTATTTATTCATCATGAATTTTCCACTTGATGAAGACCGCTTTGTAGTAGCTGTATCCTGGAACGAATATCGTTCCTTTGAACTGCAAACTTCTCTCAGCAGGACCTCTGCCTTGCCAGGTGTTTGTCCAGATTTAATGTGGCTGGTCAAGTGACTCAGGTGCTGTGTACTACCAGCAGGACAAACACGTGTTTGCCAGTCCCCAAAATTAAATCAGACCACCCAAAAATCAACTTTGAAATGCAGTATGTGTGTCTGGGCAGTGGAGGAAGATAAAGCTCTGTTTCTTTAACAGCACTTCAGCTCCTCAGTGTACCCAGATGACCCTTCAAAGTCTGATTTTTCCTTCCTTTTCCTCTTTTTTCTTATGAAATGCTTCTTGGTTTTTTGGGTGTGGTTTGGTGTTTTTCCCCAAGTTCTCTAGCACCCAGGACTTAAAACCAAACTGCAGTAATGCTGAGCTGCCTTAGTGTTACTATGGAAGGCAGCATGAGAGCTGTTAACACAGAAGAGATGAATATTCCATCTCCACAGCAGGCACTTCGGTAGACTCCTGCAGGTGCCTGAACATGTCTCAGAAAGTTTTTTGTTGGCTACTTTAAGAGGGTTCCTTGTTGGTGATCTAATTAGCACATTGAATATATGGAAAGGATTATAAATAAAGTAATTCTCTGGCGTTCTTAATCACAGCAGAATTTTTTTTTCTACTTGTATTTCCCTAAGTTATCAGTATTTCTGAGCAGAGAATGTTGGAAAATGTTAGTTGTATCTATATCATTGATATTGATATTGAAATTGATAGTTGTATCAATTATACCCTGATTTTCTTTTAAAATGCAGCACAATCTGTACTTCCAAGACACTCATTATTTTCTTCCACTAGCTACAGGTTACTTCACATCTATAACCATGAGGTTTCATATTCCTAAAATTTTATCCCATGCCCAATGAGGACTTTAACAAGTTGTAGCTCTATGGGTTGGTTTCATTGCTTCCCAGCACCTTAGATCATCAGGTCCACCTGGCCATTGAGTGGATTTTTCTTTTTTCACTAGATTCTTCTGGGTTTGTACTGTTTGGCACAGTCATAGGTGATACTCTGCATATTAAATGACTACTTGACAACCTAGTGATAGGAATTTAATGTTTAAAATATTTTTATAGTGAACTACTTACACAGTGGTGACTCAGGCTACGTGTAATATAGTCTATAATTCTGTATACTTCATTGAAGTAGAGACTTATGCAGCATCTAAGTTAAAGATAAAAACCAAAAAACAGGAACCTATAACCTGATCTGACCTGATCAAGATCTGGATTATTACTGAAAAAGTGAGTTTTACTCAAAAAAGATAAAAAAAATATAAAGTCATTAACTCAACTTTCACATATAGAACATGTTTTTGAGTTATGCACTTTTCACAGACAACTATGTAGAGTTTGAAGGAAGTGATATAGGTATTGAAGGGGATTTTTAATCTTTTTGAGATGCAGACTTTTCATATATGTAAGCATGCAGTGTTCTTTGCTAAGAACTTTCTAACTTGCTTTCGCAATAAAATTTAATACCCCAATAACTTAATTGTATTTCTTATATTCTTTCTTGTATCCATCTGAAGAGGTTGTCAGCTTCCCTATAGAAATACATTCTGCAAAGAAAGAAATGCCAAATTTTTCTGAAAAGATCACAACTTGAGCAGAAAACCTTGGGCCCTGTTTGCACACACATTTTGTTGGTGAGGACTTACCACACCCCACCAAGGGACATCAGCATAGCTGGAGAAACTTGTCTTTCCATCTTCATCAACTGCATCCTTCTCAGCAAGATAAACAAAGTAGGATGAAAAAATTAATCCCAAGAATCCAATGTACAATGTGGTTATGAGTTCCTGTTAAAAGATAAAGCAAATAAGCATATGAAGTTTTCATCCTATACATATATATGTATTATATATATTCTATCATTGTAAAACATTCCAAATATCTGTGGGGTTTTTTGCATCACAATAGAAAAATTAATATGTTATATTTCAAGTATGAAAATTGCCTCCAGTAAAACAGCTAAAATATTAGCTTGGATTTTATTCCTACCAGACTAAATGGTTCAAAAAGCCATAATTTTGGGCTTGGTCCTTGGGGTAGCTGAATGTAGAGTGGGACATCTCTCCTAATTATGGAATAGGAATCATTCCACTTGACTGTCTACTCAAAATACTAATTGTCTAAACATTTTTAAAGTAGCAAAGCAGCTTTAGAAATACCCTTTCTGAACAGTACACTGAGAAACAACATCCATGTCTTGTGATTATGGCCATATCTGAACAGTGAACCTGAGTATCTGATGTTTAGACTGCTTAAGACTGAAGAGTGATACCTCAACAGTTTCATGTTAAGATAAAATCTTAAGATAAAATATGCTAGATAGATGTCAGGTTTTCAGTTCTAAAGAACAAGACTAGGGCACACTTCTGTCAGGGCATGATACAGTCCTTGTGAATATACCATTTTCTCTAAATATTTTTGGGCAGGAAAGTTGTGTCAGACATGCTGTGAATTAAGATACATAATTCTCACAGTCTGCAGGAAAAGAAAGAAGTGCTTGTTCATTTAAACAAGCCAAAATGTGTGGTGTCATGGATGCAAAACCATGTAAAGCTTTTAAAAGCAGTGCTGAATGAGATATCCAGCTACCCCTCAGGGAAATCCAATACCTAGTTATGAGGGAAAACGGCTCATTCTAATTAATTAAAGCTTAAATGCATTATTCCTTTATTTTCTTTGCACAAATGTGGCCATCTTTATCATGAAACAATGTTGTGTTACATCTTCAGTGATGTCTTCCTTAAGTTCTTGATAGTCATTTCTATCTCCTTGGATCCCAGACAATCAGGGAATTATAACACTGCCATATGATACATTTAAAATTAAAACCTGATTAGGAAGAATCGCCCCTACTTTTAAAGTATGTCAGGTTTTCACAGATTTTCTGTAATACTCTACCCATGTTTCTTAAACTGTTTGTAAGGGAAGATCAATTTTATTATCAAATGTCCCTCATTCCTTGTAAGGGCTTTCTGGGGAAAGGTAGACCTCGTATCAAGTACCGACATTCAGCAGCAGGAAATATAAATATTCTTCCTTCTCCTAAAGCACTAATTAAAATCTGGACTCAGGAAACCTTTAAGTATTCTTGGCACAAAGAAAAATGGGTGTTTTTCCTCTAATCATTAATGATGACATAAATAATGAATTCTGGTAGTATTTCATCTTGCCCATGGCCAAATCTTTTAATTTAAGCCTTTACTTTTTGCAGGCCTGTTTGCTAAACGAGGCAGATGAAAAAGGAAATAAACCCTGGGGTTTCAGTAGTTTCTCTGCTGGTCACTTTTATTTTCTCACCTTTATCTCATCTTAGTGGAGCACTGTGTACTTATAGATATGACTTGCTTTGAAAAGCTTCTTATGTTAATATACAGAATTGACTGGATGATAATTGGAATAATTCTGGTTTAAGTGCTGGCTTTTTGGGAAGCCGGCAGGAAAATAGCAGTCTTATGAAATTCTTTTAAAGTGGCTGAAATATCAATAGAACTACTGAGTTTTTTTCACCACTGATACCTCTCAGCTCCAGCACTATTCATGTAAAGACAGAATTATTTTTAAGTAAAGGCCAGGTGAAAATGCAACTGCTTTGGACTTACTCTAAATGTCACCAACCCATGTTTCATGTGTATAGGAACTGGCAATAGTCAAATAAGAGATTTTTAGGCTTCAGGCATGTCATGGAGTTACTTTACCTTTAAGAAAGTTTAAGTTGCTGGGATCTGCCTGGCGTCTTTTCTCCTGACCAATTATCGGTCATTGCTGAGAATTGACAGCAGTTTAGGCCATTGAAAAGTGGGATCAACTTGTGAACCCTACCTTAAAGTGTAAAACCAGAGCTCTCTTGGCTCTCTTTGTTTCCTGGCTGGGAAGGGCGGCAGAGCTCCAGGCCTCCCGTTCCCTGCCCAGGCCATGCGGCCGGGCGGGGACTGGGCTGGGCCCAGCGTCTCCCGGCCGGGGGATGCGGGCCCTGTGGAGGGGGTTTTCTCCGGGCTCCGGCCGGGCCGGGCCGAGCCGATCTCTGGCTCGGCTGCAGGTTTTTTGCTGTGGCTGGATTCACTGGAGACTGCTGAGTGAAGAAGGAGAAGGGCTCTGGGCCTGCAGCGGGCTGGGCGCGGCGCCTACACTCTCCAGAGCAGCCATGAGGAACTTTCCATCGCAGACGGCTCCAGCTCCTGCACCGGCCGAGGCCACAGAACTACCTACAACAGCCTGGGCAAGATTTTAACTCTTTCATTTCCCAGATGAGACTTGCGGATTAATCTTTTTATCCAGACAGAGAAAAGAGAGTGATCAACATGAAAAGAGACTTTATAAACTACTAGTGACAGGAAAGAAAAGAAAAGGTAGAGAATTAAGAAGATGCTTTAATTAAGCTGAAATATCTTTCTGTTAAAACTATGGAAATGGACAATAAGGTCTTGAAAACGCTCCTTTAATTCATGACAGTATATAGGGAGGAATAGAGTGTTCAAAGTGTAAATTTTGAGTAAAAAGTAGAGTAATTATGGTACAGTGAAGTGCTGGAAGATTTGAAGCCTTGAGAGGCAATGAGAAAACTGTTTTCTGGTGAAGCTCACGGAAACAGATGAAGAAGACTTTTTGCCTTTGAATAACTTATCCTTAAAAATCCCATCCCTAGACTCATGGCCCATACACACTTGGGATGTGAAAATGGGAGGAGTGGGCTCTAATAACAGCAGCTCTGGGCAGCTAACATTAGAGCAATGGAAAACTATAAGAAAAATAGTTTTTCTTGTGAGAAACTCCATAAATTAACAGGAAGAAACTTCTGTTTCTCTATAAAGACTGGTGAAAAGACTGTAGCAAGAATTGGGACTGTTTTAACCATCAAAGTTCCAAAGGTTTTGTCTCTTTTGTCATGTGAACAAGGGAATAGTGGGTAGACAGGGGATGAAAAGGTTTTTCTGGAAGTTTATTCTGGTGTTCTTATTGTAGTTTGTCAATAAACTTTCTTTTTTTTTTCCCTTTTAAGTTTTATGCCTGTTTTGCTCTTGTTCTAATCCATATCTCACAGCAAGAAATAAGTAATTTTCTTAGTTATTGGTTTAAAACCACGACAAGGCATTAGCTTGAGGCTGTGTGAAACTAAGTCACACAAGGTTCTCACTCTGGCCTAGGAAATCATAAGGAGGAATCCAAACAGTCCTTAGAAAAAGAAAGCAACCTTTGCATGTGTTGTTTGTCGCCTTGTTGTTTTCTTGCAAGAAATGGTCAAGGGGTGGTGTTCCTAAATGTCCAATGATGATGATGTGTTAGTTTAATGACCAATGAAAGTTTCACCTTCTTTCACCTTCTATCACCTTCTCGGAACTGTCTATAAAAGAATACCTGGAAGAATAAAACTGGCTCTCTTGTGCAACCAAGCCAGAGAGTCTGTGTCGTTACTTTCGCTGTTCCTAATATAGTGCAACACATGTGTATAGAGAGACTATATTTAATTATTAAGAACAATGGCAGCAATCTCATGCACACTTTAAGGGAGAGACAGAAGCTTTTTAAATAATACATACTTCATGAGACTTGATCACAACACAAGGAGTATTCTGGAGGCATAAGGCCTTAAACTACATATTTATGTGGGTTTTATTAGATAAGAGCTTAAGAATAGAGAGTGCTGCCTAAAACAAATGGCTCTTTGCAGCAGGGACTTTCAAATACACGCAGGGGAAACAGCAAGAACAAGAAACACACCAAAGTAAATTTGAATATTGAGAGAGTTGAGCCAGTACATTTTTTAGACTCAGCTCTATCTCCATTTTCAGTTAAAATAAAGACCACACAATACAAAGTTCACAACTTGGAAAAAATATGAGAATCCCTCCTCTCCTAGGAGCAGTGGAAGAGCAAGGTGAGGAAGGAGTAAAACCAACCTAGAGGCTCACAAACTGGAGTTTCAGTGGCTAACTTGGTTTTTCAGCAATCTGCAGGATTTCTCCATGGCTTTCCACCACCACATATGATATTGACTCATGTTTTGTTGCCTTTGGCAAGAAATGCTGGTATATAAGCTCAACCTGATGAAAATAGAAGAGCATCCCAGCCAAACAGGGCCTGAGTGAGCTAATTGAGCTATATGTAAAATTCTAAAACACATGGAAATTGTTGGTGGCAGCTTTACTAAGCTCTTCTGGGCACGGGGAGGTACAAGGGCTTGCTATTTTCACAGGGCACAAAGATGTGAATTTATTTTCTCACATTGCTAAAAGGTTTAGGGACCCATTTTTTCTGTAAGAGTATCAAACACAAAGAAAACCAAAAATAGATGAAGACTTTGTACTCTGCCTGTGAAGAAAAAGCAGATGAGGTGTTTTTGTTTTGGTTTTTTATTTTTAAACAAAAATTTCTTTCAGAGGCTGGACAAGAATAAAGGTTCCATTTTTCCTTCTGTTTGGTACCTTGTTAGGGTTTCAGCTACACTTGTCCAATGTCAATACAGGACTGTGTGCTTGGTATTTTTTTCTAAATGTGTGAGTGGGTGATCTGCTGGGGTAAGTACTACAGATGTGTGGAGTTTTATTTATTACCATAATCACTTCTTTGGATAAACACAACTTCAGGTGCATCTGCTCATAAATTCACTTTTCCAAGGATTTTTTTTTCCTTTTAAGCCATTGAACTTTCTTATGTTTGTGATACATAAGATTGAAGTGTTGTATTTTGGAGGTAGTATTTCCTGATTCTTGACTAAAACTCTGAACACCCACAGGAAAAAATGTTCTCAAACAGCTCTGCCAGTAAGGGTAGCAAATGTTGAAAAAGTTATTTGGATATTAGCTCTGTCCTAGCAAGATACCCAGGAAATGTAAGCATAATAAATGAAGACCACACAGACTGGGAGCATTAAAAGTTATCCTGTTGTACAGTATGAAAGGAGGCTTTATCCCACAGCACTTTGGTGTGCATCACTTCTGCACAGCCATCATGACGTAGAAGTTCCCACTGTACTAGGGGAAAAATAAAAGGAAGAAAATTAACTTTTAGTATTAAATTGCTTGGATTAAGTGCAGCACATTCTCTGTCCCAGAAAAAAACAGTTTTCTAAATAGAAAATTTTAACATATCTGTGTGGAAATCTGTAATTAAAAAAAAATAATAAAAAATCTCCACATATTTGTCAATATGTGGAGAACAAATCTACACTCATAAGAACAGGTTAACCACCACAAGTGGGACGTGGAGACTAATAGCAGAGTATTAGCCCTCCACAATGTGGCATGAGATGCAAAACTTAAAGGCTATTAACTTTCTATTATATTGATAAAGCTAATAATAAAGAGATTCCATGAAAGCTCAAAAAGAAGCCTTCAATTAGAAATATATTAAAGTCTGCAAAAAAACTTTTAAACTCTTCCTGCTTAATGAGCATTCATACTGAAAATTGTTTCAAAGTTTTAGCAGACATGCACCTATTTATAGCCAGGTTTGCCCCTATGACCACACCCTTAATGTAATTTTTCTTACACCGCATCTTAACATAGTTTATATTTTTTTATTTAGAGAATGAATTTGAAAGCTCTGTATTCAAGAAGAACAAAACAGAAATATTTAAATAATTGACTTCTAGCATGATTTTTCCACTATTGTTTGGTTTTCTACAGGAAAACCAAGCTAGGAGCGCATCCTCTGCAGAGATAGTGGGGAGAACTTGCAATATGAAAGGCAGTCCACAAAACTGCATTTAAGAAATCGCATTGAGGGATAACATCAAAGAGTACAACAGTTAACTAATAAACCCAAACACTGGTGTTTATACCCTATTAGCCACTGCCCTGAATAGAAAAGAATAGCTTCCCTTTTTAAAAGGTGAAAGAAACACATGATGGACTTTTAAAGTACTTTTTTTCTTGCAATGTAACTGTCCATTTAAACCAGACCATGATTTGAAGCCCACAGGAGAATTTACTGAAATAAAAAGATGAAGGGCATGTTTAAAGGCTGGGTACCTGTAGATGGATGAAAACCACTGACCCCAGGAGTCTCCAGGTGCCTCCCTGGTGGTCAACATGAAGCATCCGAAGGATCTGGAGGAAATGGATCCCCCTGTAAAGAAAGCAAAGTATCAAAACAAATACAATAAATACATAAAAATGCTTGAGGACAATACTGCCTTATCCACGTACAACTGATTACGTCCACTAACACGCTGCCATGTTCAAGAACTGTGATATCACTGCCCCTGCCTGGGGTGGTATCTCAGGCTTGAGGCATCTCTGTATTTAGATCACATTTCATTATAGTCAAGTTTATTCAGAAATACTGACTATGAAAACAATTATTTAATGGGAAAACAAACAAAATCAGAGGAAACCTGTATAGTTTATATGATTCCAATCTTTAAATGTCTCCTTTCCAAGGAAAACCAATGCTTCAGGCTATGCTAACATAAATATGAGCAAACTTTTTTCTCTATTTGCCAAATGCAGAATATGAATCAAACATAGCATTACTGAAATCCTTGTTGTGTGAGTTATTGAAATCTATCTGATATAACTGGAAAAAGATAGAGTCCTATGTGTTTTTAGGAGAATAACTAAATCAATCATAAGCTCCAAACATTTTCAACTAAATAAAAATAATTATCAATATGATTCTTCAGCATCATTTTATTCCATAAAAATATTTAATTGAGTCACTCTTTTGACAATGGATTTTGTTTGCCTATAGTCATCTTACTGTCTTATCCCTGAAACAAACCAGTGAAGAGCAAGAAAAGATGAACGCTGAATTCATCAACCTGAAAAATTTGTCACTAGAGGTGTTTTTGACTCTTGTTAGCAATCTTCAAGATTTTTTGTGGGTGTAGGTTTTGATTTTTAATTCAGACTTGCCTGATCCTGCTGGCTTTTCAGTGGAGCAATGATAACACTGCAGGGATGTGGGTTAAGGTTCTGTGTCAGACAGCATTCTGAGGTATAAGACAGTGACTCTGGACTTAGTACTGGGAAAGGCTGGACTGAGCCCGAAACCCATTGGGCTCACATATAAACACACAGGGCCTTTTCATTGAAGTCCTTCCTATGCTTCTAGTTAAATTTAAAAAAAGCACAACCCCTGGAATTTTCACATGCACCTTCCTCTTTTCCTATGGGAGCCGATATTCCTTCTGCCTGATGATGGTCTTTACCAGGTAAGGATGAATGTTCCACATTAAGAGTTACCTTAAAACATTCTGTACATGTAGTCCCCCCAGTGTTCACCTACAGAGCTAGACAGTTTAGACAGCCTGGACATTCACACTTCCCAGTGATTCCACTCCACTGGGAAGCAGAGGCTTGTGACAGAACATGCAGCACATCTTGGAATGGGTTAGGAGTGGGAAATACACCTACTGCTTATCATTCTTTTCTTCTGTTTACCCACTTCACCTCCCAAAACAAGCCTGCAGTACTGGATGCAAGCTGAACAAACACTGTGGACATCAAATGTTTCTGGTTGATGTACAGTGTGAGTTACTTGTGCCAAACAAATCCACCAAAGCATAATTACTCTTTAAACAAAATAATTACCCATACTCAAAAAGCACTGAGTTAAGTGCTGTGTGGATTACTTCTTAAATAAACCCATACTCTGTAATTCCCTCTTGTCTCAGAGACATTTGTTTGATGTTTTAAATAGGACACATTTTGTTTTTTCTACTTGGCTTCGGCATTCCCACCATTTTTCACTTGCTCTGTTCCTGCATTTCGTTTCCCAACCAGTCACCAAGCAGAGAAGCATCCATCCTTTACTGCCCAGTGCTTCAATAGAGAACTTTCCCTGTGGTAGGAAAATCAGACATGCAGCTAAACTGGGAATTAGGCAATCAGATACACATCTAATAACATCTGTGGTAGTGAAGAGCTGCAGTGACAGGAGAACATACCTTATTGCAGAGGTGGCAAACACCTGTCCATTAGATCCTATGCTCAGAACAATAACTGAGGCTACTACCACAATCAGATCTGTTAAAAAACAAACAAATAAATAAACAAACAATCAAAAGAAGAAAGAATGTATTGGGGTTTTTTGTTTTCTTTTTTAATCTCAGCACTGAGAAACACAACAAATACAGACTAAGGAAAACACTTAAAAAAAAATAGTTAGCTGAATTTGGTGGGCATGTTAAGTCTATGTAATAGTTTCACATCAAAACCCCAGTGGCTACAGTTTCTTCCAGGATGAATTCAGTGACAGAAGTTTCAAAGAGCCCAATGGATCAGGCAGTTTGCCACAAAAAAATGCAAAGATGTTGTGATGTGCCTCGGGGAGGCAAAGAGTAACTTTCAGATAAGCATTGTTCCACCCCAAACCCCTTGTGAAGGGCAGCCCAGGGGTTCTGATTGGGTTTGAGTCCCTTGGGGGTTTCTCCCTTGTTGTGTTTCTAGTGGTCCCTGACCCTGAACTCCACCCTCAAAGGTGGAGACCCTCAAGAGTTCTGTCCCTTAAAAACCCCTGCTTGGCCTCTTTTCAGGGCTCTCTGTTCTGGATCTGAGTTTGTTCCCATGCTGAATAAATGGTTTCATGAACAAAAGCCTGTCTCGTTGCTGTTCCATGCTGGTCCCCAGAACCCTGCAACTTCACTGGACGTGACCCTGAGGTTGTGGACTACAACACAAAGGCATTTGTGCACCCTAGAAATGAATCCATATTTTGGCTCAAGGCTTCTAATCCAAGAGGAAATGCAAGGGTTTGCATCATGCAATAATGAAATCCATTAAGTATCATGCATCATACACACATACACTTAGTTTGAAAGTTGTATCAAAGCTGTAAAGCCAAGCTTTCAAAGCTAAGGGAACTGTCAGAACAAAGGCTGGCTAAAAAAAATCTGAATTGTTAGTTTACTTTGTGATACTGTCTTTATTTGTATGAAAATATAATTGTTTCCAGAGTTCCTTTTTTTTTTGTTTGCTTCCACAACTCTGCAATTTACAGAGTTCCAGCTTTATACAATGCAAATGATAGATTGAGTTCACAGTGCCAGCATCCCTTACTGCCCCTCATCCCAGTTCATTTCTTTTTATTATTGAACTTTGCTGTAACATTATCCTGAGAAGACATTCTTTTAATTTCCTCACAGGCATTTCTCTGGAAAACCTCTTTAGAGCATCTAAATGCTTCCCTTTCAAATTCTAGCCAAAAAATAAAGGGTAGTATTATAAATGAGTAGCAAATGGAGGCAGAATCAGGAAAAGTTTTGGTAAACTTTCCTTTGCCATTTTGAAACAGGCAGTACTTTATTCTTCAGAGCATTTAACATTATATAGCACTTCAAAATACCAACCCTGATGGCTTCACTTGCAGCTGTGAGGGCTCAGAACCTCTGCAACCCAACTTCAAAGTCTTCCCTTGGACATTCAGAAAATGAGGCCCACTTACGAAAACTGATTTAACCAACTTTCCATGGGATGCCTGGGCAAGAGGCAGGATGGGATCCAACCTGAGCAGCAACAACAGTTTCCTTCAGCAAAGTTAACTTGTTTTTTCCTCTCCCTTTTAATGTTCTCCTGCCTCACTCACAACCATGTAGTTGCTGCAACAAATATTGCAAAAGTTCTACAAGCAACAGCATCCTTCACTCTCTGAGTTAAATTAATTTCTAGTATCAATCTGATTTTTGCTGTAAAAGCTGGATTACTCCTCAAGGGAAAGCACACAGTCAGTTTAAAGACTGTACTACAGTAACTGTTCGTGAATGACAATGACAATGACAATGAAAATGACAATGACAATGAAAATGAAAATGAAAATTAAAATTAAAATTAAAATTAAAATTAAAATTAAAATTAATAAAGGGAGGGATGAGGCTACAGAAAGAGCTTCCATTTGAAATTCCATTTGAATGCCTGACTACAAAGTTTTTACGCTGTTCCTTTATCATGTATGTGTGTGAACATATATCTGTAAACTTTGAAATTTAGGGTGGGTTTTCTTCCCATCACAGCACAAATCTTTGCCCTTAGCAAATGATGCATCATGTCTTTACTTAATTATTAGACATACACATATCCATCTGATGACAAGCACTAAAGGTGGAAAAAACTGATGCTTAGAAAATGAGTTCAACCAAGTAGTGAAAGAGATTTCTTCATTTGTACTTTCTACTTTTCTGAAAGTGTTCTTCATGGTAGAGATATTTCTTTTTCTTTTTTTCTCTCCAAACCTGTTTTTCTATCTCTGCTTCTCTTCTGTTCCTAGTTTTCATCTGTTTCCAGTCCTTAGACTTCCTTTATTAATCCCAGTTTACTGATCCAAACAGCCTTATTTTACAGCCTAGGTCTCCAGCAGGTCCTGCCCTTTCACTGCCACCTTTCAATCCCATGTATTTCCAGCCCCTGCTGATTTCCCTTCAAGCTCCTGAAGCTTGTCAGTCTTTTTAAGCGTTCCTCTCCCAGACCTTTGTATCAGAATCCAGCTCCTGTCTTTTTACTGAGCCTGTGTGTCCCAGAACATTTCTTACACCTCAGCCTGGAATTTTCCATGTTGAACTTTCTAAGAACTAATTCAAATTATAGAGGGAATGAAAACCCATAGAACAAATCTCACTGCTGTCAATGAAATTTTAGGGGATTTTTTTTCTGATTTTAAAATAGACCTTTGTATTAATGAAGAAATAAAATAATTGCATGTTTTACTTTCTGTTCTAATCCTTTAATTTCTTTTTCCAGTGTTTTTTATTCATGTTGATTTGAAAATGACAGGATGAGTCAGCAGGACTTGATCATTCACAGCAAAGGTATTTTCCAAGTTTATCTTGTTCCATCAGTGCAGACACTGTTCCATCTGCATTTGATGGGGAAAAGCAAACCTTGACTTCCAATGTATTGTATTCCTAGGGGAATTTCAAAGGTTAAAATAAAGTACTGATACCTGTGATTGCACAACCAGCTGTAGCCATTCTTAGCTTTTCTTAACAAAAGCCACAGTATCTTCCTTAAGGGCTCCAATACAAACATGAATATTTGCAGTGGCAAAGCACCATACCAGCATAGAGAACCCCTTGAAACCACATTTCAATGAGCCTATCAATCTAATATACCCACCTAAGAAGCACTTATTAATTGAGAAAAAAATCAAGAACACAATTAGGAGTAATAATGATCCCTTACAGGCCTCATAGTCACATAACAAAACTAGACCAGCTCTAGAAGCAGACAAAGAATTTGTTTGTACCCAAGGAAGGATTTTGTGTTCAAAATCTTGTCAATTTCCTGCAGTTACCCAAGATTTAGTCATTTCTTCACTTTACAGTCCTGCCTTTCTAAGCCTGATGTCTGCCTTAGCCATATTTTAATGGCTTTAATAATTTAATATTTTAATATTTTGTCAGTTCTAGCAACGCAAAAAAAGAGAAATAACAAAGCTGATAAATGCTTGAGGGATAGACATAGCTCAGAACTGCAATAAGGCCCCTGCAGAAGTTGACATTTTTATTTACAACAAGCAGGAGGGTTGCAAAAGAGTTTAAGACTTACCAGTGATGGATATTGGCTTCCTGGCAAACCGGATCCTTCCCTGGAAGCCAATTTACTCCTGCAGCCTGCAGACCACAGCCAGACCAGATACTCAGCACCAAAAAACACCACCAGAACTATTTCCTAGCATAGTGAAAAGAAGAAGAGATCAGAGTTGAGTTTTTTCATTAAAAGCACAGTTTGTACATCTAATTTATTCATAGGACTAATACAAATGAGTAGAGAAGCATTAAAATGATTTTGCCTAATCTGTCCACTTTTTGTACGAATATGCCAGGCAGAAAATAAAAGGGAGAGATAATCAGTTCCTGAATGTGATTTGAATGAATAAACAGATGGTTTAAGCTCCATTCCATCAGTATATCATAGGGAAAAACACAACATTATTCTTCGTTTATTTTGACACTTCTTGGTCTCCAGGCCTTTCCCCACCTTAGTTGCCCTCCTCTGGACACATTCTCACATTCTGATGTCCTTCCTCTATTGAAACACCCAAAACTACCCCGAGGACTCAAGGTGGGGCTGCACCGGTGCAGAGCAGGGTGGGGCAATGCCCTCCCTCCATCCCTGTGCACCCCAGGACACAGGTGACCCCTCTGACTGCCAGGGCACTCTGGTGACTGATGTTGAAATTGCATCAAAACTCTCATATCTCTCTGTGCAGGGCTGCTCTCCAGCCTCTTGTTCCACAGTTTGTATGTATAACCAGGACAGGCTCATCTTAGGGGGAGAGTAAAGTTCTTGCTTTTGCACATTTTTATATAGTTGGTGATTGCCAGTTCTCTGGTCTATCCAGATCTCTCAGTGAGTCCTCTGTACCCTGGGGGAGTTCACAGCTCTCCCCAGTCTAGTATAGCTATCAAACTATCTTGATGTGCATTTGATTTCTGAGTAGCTCACTTAAAAAACATATTGGAGAGCATGGGCTGTAAAGTTGAGCCCTAGGGTCCCCCCCAGTGACTGAATGCCAGGCTGGCATAACCATGGGCTTCTTGAGCTGTGTGGTGGAGCATTTAACCAGAAGGATTCAGTGACAGACAGGACCAAAAGCTTTGATGAAACCAAAAAAACCCCACATTTTCTGACTTTCCTTAGTCAACTACGGATAAATTTGAGTTGTTTAATCAGCACTTTCCCCCATGAACTTGTGCTGGCTGTAACCAATGACTGTGTTTTCTCTTGAGTGTTTTTCAGTAACTCCCAAAACAAATTTCTCAATAATTTTACCAGGCACTGCAATGAGATAGACAGGTCTGAAATCACCAGGGATTTCCTTCTTGTCCTTGAAAACTGGGGTAATATTTGCCAGCTTTCAGTTTAGTGGAACCTCTCCAGACTCCCAAGACTACTGAAAAATAAATGTAGTGAGGTCCCAAAATGACATCTGCCAGGTCTTTCAGTATCCCACCAAGCCCCATGATTTATGCACATCCAGCTGTAGCAACAAGTCTCAAACAAACTCAGGGTGGACTGAGATTTTATCATCCCCCCCACAGTCATGGTTTCCCAACAGAAGTCCAGACTTCCCAGGGCCAATATTTGTTGAAGGCAGAGGTGAAGAGGACATCAAATGTCTCTGCTTTGTCTACATGGCTATTTTTGATATGATCAATCTCATCAGGCCAAGGCCCAATGCTATTTCTGATCTCCCTTTTGCTATGAACATATTTGTAAAAGTCTCTTTTATTGTCATTCCCAGTCCTGGCCTGCTTGAACTCAAATTGAGCTTTGACTGCACTGATTTTCTCCCTACCATGGGGACAGAATCTCCCCCCATGTCACCTGGCCTCTCACACACTCCCCTTTCCTCCTCAAGTTCTACAAGATCCCTGCTCAGCCAAGCTGCTCTTCTGGCCAGCCTTGCTTGACTTCCAGCCCTTTGGAATTGCCTGTTCCTGTGCTCTCAGAGGATGGCCCTGAGAAGGTGATCAGAATTCAGAGCTCCCAATACACCCAGAAGCAGATTCCCAAGAGACTACTAACCAGCCTCTACTGCTCTCCACATATCCAGGATCAAAATTTTGCTGACAGTTCGTCTTCTATCACCAGCTTTTGAAACTCAGCTCCTTCAAGTTCACCGCAACCAAGACACAACCACCAGCCATCACTTTTCCCACAATTCCCTCCTAAACAACAAATCTAGAAAGACAACTTTCCTAGTCGACCACCTATGCCAAGGAGTTATCTTCAACATGTTGGGAATTCTCTTGGACCTGTTGGAGTCTTCTGTATGACATTCCTACTTGATATCTGGGAAGATAAAATCATCATAAGGATTGGTGACAGAGGTGAGCATATCCAGCATGTAAATAAATTAATTATCAATATTTTAATATTGCTCCCCTCTTCAGAGCTGCATTGTGAAGCACTTGTGCATGACCAAGGATAGGTGTACTTTAAATACTTCTAAAGAAAGCAGATTAGTAAAGATCACAACGTGGACAGATGCATTGAGATCTCTGTTCCCCTCTTCCTCGTTTTTTTCTCTGTTGCAGTGTGGTAGCAGAACCCAAACACGGCTTCTAGGCTTTGTTCCAACCCAAACTGTACCCAGTAATTCAGTCACCAAACACCTACTACACAAGTTACAGCTTTGGAAAATGTTTGCATTTTAACTTGAACATGCTTGCAATCTGCACCTGGGGAATTCTAAAGCACCCAAAAAGCAAAACACACTTAAATCAAAATTTTCACTGAATGACAATACCAACTCAATTTTAAAACTGACATTCTGAATGGCACAAGAGAGACCAAAACATTCCAAAGGTGAAAAAAAAATAAGAAAAAACTCTACAATAATATGCAAAAATTCATGTTAATTCTGATTTTTAACAATGTTAGGTTAACATTTCTGTGTTCACTTCTGCCTCTTGTTTTGCCTGGAATGAGAACCAAGAAAATATGCACAGTCCTCCTCTTTTTTGCATGGCACTTTCTGCCTGAATTAACCAAGGATTAGTATAAAACTAAGAAAGCTTACAGCCATCCTCAAGGCAGAAGCACAAGAAAATACCCAGCAAATTAAAATTAACTCCCCAAGTTTCATTTTTTAGTATATTTATTATATAGAGCATCTACAACCAATTCTAAGTTTGCATTCGGTCTACAGTCTCCATAGAAATATTTATCCAAGTATAATAGTCAAATCAAATCCTAAGAACAATGTGCAAAGTTAAAGAATTCCTGCATTTTTGGAATCTTGCAAAATATTCTATCACTTATTAAATTGTCTATGTTTTTAGAAGATTCCTGGTATTATCACTCTAGCATTTTCTTGCTCTTCTTAGGAATCTCTAAGTTCCACTAAAAGAAGCAGAGCACTGTTTATAGCAGTGGAAAAATCATTTTAATGGACCTGCATATTACAATTGCTTTAGGTGAAAAGCTCTGTAGAAAGGAGACAAGCAGAGAAGTGCCAAGGAAGCAAAAACTTCCTGGATTTTCCTTGATTATTCTCTGAGGGTACTTTTAAAAGCTGAAATTAAAACTACATCTAGTCTGAGGTTATTTTATTCTCAGAACCCATCTTGGTTATGTCCAGAAAAACCTGATGAAGTCAGTAAGGTTACACAGTCTATGGAAAGGAAAGATAAATTGTTGACAGGAAGGAGGAAAAGAAGGAACTTACATCTTCGACAAATTTGACATAAATTATTAATCACAGTTCATTTTGCCCTAGACAGGTGTCCACGTTACCAAAACCACAACCATTAACACATTAGTTGGCAGACTCAGACAGGCCAAAGACCAAAAAAGCATGGAAACTGGACAAACATCACAGCTCTGCAGGTGGTCCCTCAAAAAACCAAGGAAGATTATGACATTTACACTATTGTGTGTACCCTTAATGCAAGATAGGAGACACCCATATCCAGAGCTACCAAGGTTGATCAAGCTTCACCTCACTAAATTCACCTTCAAAAAAAAGCCCTAACCTCCCTCCTTTTTCTCTTCTACACATAAATACTTTTCAGAGCCTTAAATGCATTGCCTCTCATTTACATTCTGGTAAAAGGAAAAAAAAAAAAAAAAACAACCCAGAAATTTTCTGGGAAGCCAGAAAAAAGTAATAATTATCACTGAAATGGTAACAACTGATGGTGAGAACTTGTGGACAAAATGTGGACCAGAACAAAATCAGCAAAAACAATCTGCAAATTAAATTTACATCCATGTGTCAGTTTGAGATCATTCTCCAGCCTTCTGCAATTTTCCAGAACCCTTGCTTTCAAAATGGGATTACACCCACAAACCCTTTTGATTTAGACTCCCAGCATTATTTTTCCCCTTCTCCTGGAAGTTGTCAAGGAAGAAATGGATGATGAAGGATTCTGAGCAGATTTAATAAACCTGGAAAGCAGTTTATCATCAACAGAAAGCCAGGGATGAACTCTTCTAATGAAACTGTAACCAAAATTAATGAGTGGAAACAAACTGTTGCTTCATAAAAATAAGAACCATATCAGACTTGATTCTTCTCACTCACATGTCACAGTCTCTTCCTGTTATGATCCTGGTAACTCAAATTGCCACCAGAAATACCAACAAAATAATTTAATTACAGATTTTAAACTGGGTCTGTGCTGTCTAACACCTCTGCTAAAGTCAGTAGTAACATTCCATTACTCTTTGCTTCTTCCTCTCATCTGGGAAAAAGACCCAAGGCAAATAAGGACTGTAATAGTCCTTGTCCTTAAATTAATTTCATCTTTGAATTGTTTTTTACTTTTCTGAAGCCTGGGCACTTCATAAATCTTCCCTCCCCCCACCAAATTAATAATAAAATAATACATATTTATGCTATTTTTAGTGTAATTTCATTAATGTAATAAAAAATATGCAAAAATAAGCTTAAAGGGAAATATGTATACAAATAACTTTCATCCATATCTAATTCAATCAGTCAAATAAAAAACGTTTGTGAAAAAGCCATCAACTTTTTATCCAAGAATGTCATTGATAACCATATAAAAAAATGCTCACATTAACACAGAAACCCAACACTTTTACATAGGCATGTGTGTGTGTGTGTAAATTAAATATATAGCCTGGAATTTATAATTTATCCCAGTTTTGTTATGGATAACTGCACTGGGGAAGCAGGAGAGGGAAGTTCACTGGAG